AAGTCTTGCAGGGTTTCGATAAATGCTGGTTTTACTCTGGTTTCTACCTTTTATAAACTTTTATACGGTTTGTCTCAGTCTTTTTCCAGTATGCTACTGTGTCTTGTCTTGTGAATGAGTCAACCAAAGTTACAGACACCATTTTTTTCTATAGTAGAAATAATTGTTCCTGGTGAAAAATCGTTCACATCGGTGTTTCTTTCGTTCTTGGCTTTTGATTACTTATAAGTTGTACCGATCTGGTTGAGAGAGAAAGAGAGGATATATCAAGTTTAAAATAATTTATTGGTATCCATTATATCAAAATTTGGTCCTTTTTAACATTTGGTAACACAATTTAAGTAGATCTAATATCACAAGCCCCACCATCCATAGTAATCCGTGGTGTTTGAATGAACTAATGATACCTTTTTATTTGTTGAATGCTCGATTTCGAATTCTAAACACAGTACATTTGTTTGTGGTTATCTAGCACTTCTTGATCCGATTACGTTATTTCTGGGATTCTTAGTCCATACTATAAATCAAATACTCCTGAATATCACATAATCCTAAGTAATCCTTAATGACACGATAACTAACTTATTTACTTTCTCCGAAACGTCCAGATCACCTTTAATTAGAAATTTAGGGTTTGAACAGTTTTCTGGTTAATATCTCGTCAGGGATATCAATGTATTGATGAATATAGTTGTGTGTAACTTGGGGAACGTACACCTTTATGCCCATAGGGTTTTGGACTTTATCTGCAACAGTATGGCAGTTAGCCATGGTCTTTTGGTCATGTCATGCCATTAGTTCCAAGTCATCGTGAGACATGTTAAGGCGAGTAATTAGATATTGAACACGACTTAGAACAGATTACCGAATCGATACTCAATCTTTTTGGCAAAGTCATCTTGGGAGATATGTGCTTATTTTCTATTATCAGACAACTGCATCTCTCTCTTAGTATCAGTAAGTTTGTTGTGAACGATAATTTTTCCCTGAAATCGTATTGTTATGTGTTTAAAGAGTTGTTGTTCTTCCCGACAATCATTGTGGTCATTTTGATTATTCTCTGCAAAATTTTGATCACAAAACTAGTGGCACTGACGAGTCTGTGATTTGACAGGAGTTATCTTGATCATATCCTGCAAAATGGACAACCATATCTTTGTTACGAATTTACTGTAAAGTTTCACTTGTCTTACCAATATCAAAAGCGATTTTCTTTTGTTTCAGTAATTGGACGCTTATAAGCATCCAATTTCATGGCCTACCCAGGGATGGACGAGCCTTTTGTTCTTTGAAACAGTCCAGGGTATAAGTGACTGAGCTACTTAGTTTTACAGTTGCCGGAACTGATTACATGCCTCCCCTACTGATGCTTCTGTGTTTACTACTCAGTCTTCAGGAAACCGTACGGTCGAATATGCAAGTTCTGTGTCAACTATAATTATAAGCACTGGAGTGTTATTAGGTAGGCCACAAGTATGGACATAGCAAACTAGCAATATAACTTCCTTGTTCTGTGTATCCTACGTATGCTGATACAAACCACAATAGCTTGTAATACCTTTTATATTCATGGCCTAGTTTAAATTCTGACCTCGGTTCTTTATCAATCAACTCTTCCCATTTATGGAAGGTGTAGTGAACGATAACACCAGTGGGGACGCTGGAAGGGTAATTGGGACACCTAGTTTAATTCCGTCTTTGGAGTTCAGACGCTCACCTTTTGCATATCCCGGGTTTTTTTGTAAACGTTGAATCTACGTCAATAAGTTTTCACTGTCACAAGGAGGTGGGTCTTGAAGCAGGGTATTATCAGGCCTCGAGACTACGTTAAGAACTACACTGACAGCATCGTCTACATTCGACCAACCAAAATCTTCTGATCCTTAACTTGGCTCTTCGGAACATCAGGGTAATTTTCAGGATAGCTACTGCTTATTTTATATAGGAAGGTTTTCCAATACACCATATTTATAAAACAACTCCGGTCACGAAAAGGAGTTGCTCTGATACCGTTCAAAGAAGTTCGAAATGCACTTATAGAATGCGAATCTCATGGACTCAAGATGATCAAAGCATCCTTCAAAACAAAGAAGGAGGCAATCACAATGAATGTTATCCAATTTTATGTACCCACCAATAAAAGCTGTGACGACGATAACGATCAGTTCTACGAAAAGCTGACAATTTTGGACAAACAGAACTACAAAGGTTCAATAGAGCCTTCCTTCGAGATACTAAAAAAATCAATGAATTCAAGATAGCTCTCAACAACAGGTTCCAAGCCTTACAGAATCTACTGAAAGAAGAAAAACTACTGTGGAGGACAATTGGAAAGGTATCAACGAAGCATTAATTTCAACGTGTCAGGAGGTTCTGGGACTCAAGAAACATCATCATAAGGAATGGATCTCTATAGTAACACTGAACAGAGTCAAAGAAAGGAAGAACAAAAATACAGCAATTAATAACAGCCAAACACGAGCAGAGAAAGTCCAAGCACAAACTGAATACATAGAAGTAAAAAAACAAGTGAAGAAAAGCATCAGAGCCGATAAGAAGAAATACGTGGAAGAACTAGCAACGACGGCGGAAAAAGCTGTAAGAGAAGGAAATATGAAACAACTTTACGATACAACCAAGAAACTAGCAGGGAAATATAATAAAACAGAGAGACCGGTCAAAGACAAAGAAGGCAGGTCAATCACTAAAATTCGACAACAGCGGAGCAGATGTGTAGAGTACTTCGAGGAACTCTTGAATAGGCCGGCTCCAACGAATCCATCGGACACCGAAGCAGCACACACAGATCTTCCTATAGATGTCAATCCACCAACGACGGAAGAAATCAGAATGGCCATCAGACAAATCAAGAGCGGGAAAGCGGCAGTTGAGTGGAACTCGTCACTGTACATCAACTTCATTGATTATGAAAAGGCGTTTGACAGTGTAGATAGGAAAGCGTCATGGAAACTTCTTCGACAGTACGGAGTTCCTGAAAAGATTGTCAATATTATCTACGCAAGATACTCAACATCCATTAATCGGATACCATCAGCAACAGCCTTTTGTGAGAGAGAACAAACCAGCTTCCGGCTGAAGAGGAAATTAGGAAAAGACGATGGAAATGGATAGGACATACACTACGCAAATCGTCAAACTGCATCACGAGACAAGCCCTAACTTGGAATCCTGAAAGAAGGCGGAAAAGAGGAAGGCCAAAGAACACATTAGGTCGGAAAATAAAAGCACATACGGGAAGGATGAATAACAACTGGAATGAGCTGGAAAGGATTGCCCAGGCCAGGGTTGGATGGTGAAAGCTGGTGAGCGACCTATGTTCCTTCACGAGGAGTACCAGGCGCAAGTAAGTAAGGAAAGCTGATGGAAGATCATTACAAAGGTTCAATACAGCCTCCCTAAGAGATTCTAACAAACTCAGTGAGTTTAAGACAACTCTCGACAACAGTTTCCAAGCCTAACAGGATCTAGTGAAAGAAGAAACTACGATGGAGGACAACTGGAAAGAGATCAAAGAAGCATTAAGTTCAACGTGTCAAAGAGTACTGGGCTGCAAGAAGCACTATCACAAGAAATGAATCTCTATCGAAACCCTGTACAAGATTCAAATTGGAAAAACAAGAAGACAGAAATCAACAACAGCCGAACAAGAGCAGTGAAAGTCAAGGCACAGTCTGATTGCACAGAAGTAAATAATCAAGTGAAGTAGATCACTAGAGCTGAGAGGTAGAAATGTGTGGAAGATCTAGCAACGACACAAGCAAGAGCTACAAGAGAAGGTAATATGAAACAGCTAAGTGATACGACGAAGAAACTAGCAGCGAACTATAGCAAATCAGAGAGACCAGTCAAAGACGAAGGAGACAAGTCAATCACTGTGATTACAGAACAGTGGAAAGGGTGAAAGGAACACCATAAAGAATTTTTGAATAGACTGGACCCACCGGACATCGCAGCAGCAGACAGAGACCTTATTATATCTGGCTATCCACCAACGATCGAATAAATCAGAATCGCTGGTCATCAGACACATCAAGAATGGGAAAGCATCAGAACATGGCAATATACCAGCCAAAGCACTGAAGTCAGACAAAGAAGTAACCGCAAGCATGTCTCATGTTTTATTCAGGAATATTTGGGAGAAAGAATAAGTGCAGATGGACTAGAAAGAAGGATTCCTCATCACAATACCAAAGCAAGAAAATCTGAGCAAATGCAAGAACTACAGTGGCATCACCCTTAAAGTTCTCAACACAGCATTTTTAAATCAGATGAAAAATTCAGTAGATGTCCAAATTCGAGATCAATATGCGGGATTCCGTAGGAATCGATTGTGCATAGACGTAAACGCGACACTCAAAATCAAGGTAATGTTGTGCCCTTACCCTACCTTAGTACCTACGAATTTTTAACGAAATAAATGGTCATAAATCTCCTTTTACTTTTGTGTTTTGTTTTTATTCTTTGAAAGGAAAGTGTATTATATTTAAAGAATCACCAGAAAGTTTGAAGAATATTTCTGTGTTATACTTAACTTTCAAGCAAAGCTTATCCTTACAAATAATAATAGTCACGATAATATTAATGCAACTTGACAACCAAGTGCAAATTAATTTACTTAGCTTTGAACCACATTTATCTGGGAATTAGTGATACTAACCAACTGCCCAAACAAAAGTTTGGTTTAATCACTAAACTACCACTCTGATCGTATTCACAATCAACCATTGAACTAAATACTACCTTAGTCTTGCATCAAATATATGTCTAAATAGTCGCTGCACACGCTTCAATTTATTCATGTGCCCTTTTAAAAAATATTATTTGTTATCTAGCCAAATTATCGAGCCATCGTTGGATACACAGAAAATGTAATCCCGTCTAATCTGTCAAGACAATTTGTAACTAATAGTCCTAATTGTTTAATTATACGAAACTTGCCATACTCACTAACTGCAACTGAGATTAGAGAACATTTCCCCATGGCCAATCGTGTTCATTTAGGTGTAAATAAGTTTGGAATATTCAATGGGTAAGTACTATTTTTCTTTACCACTTTAAATGAAGTATAGTATTTGTTAGATATTACTTCATTGAATCATACATAAAATTACAACTATCAATATTATTAGATTGATCCCAAGATGTCCCATGATCGATGAGTATTTGATTTAGGTGGTCAAATACATGTGTATAGTTATTGAATCAAGTTCTGGATTTCAAGTAATCAATTAATTGAGTTATATTATTCATAAAATATGACCGTCGTATTTGCCGGTAAAGATGCAATTAGGACAAGATAACTAAGTATTACTTGTCTCTTTGGTGGGTTATTGTAGTAATAAATGGCGTTTATTCCTAGAATCCATTACTGTGAACGATAAACGTAGACAACTTTTTCACCTTTATTGTAGCTCAATGTTAAATAGAAAGAAATAGATTAAACACTCATTAAATGGTTTATTGAACTCATCGAAGAAGAATCAAGCGAACTCTAGTGAACGTGAGTATATATACAATGTCTTCGATAATAATGCCAAAAAAAATAGTATACTACAACATGTACAAGCCAATCACATCGAACCGAAAGCCTCCAGCTGCCACGAAAAGCACAATGCCCTTAGACTATTTGGTCGCCATCCAACTGTTTAGATTCTCAGCTTTAGTTAGTTTGTCGTAATATCAGGGTTTCGGTTGTGAACTGCCCCACTTCTGATGTAGTTGACATTAGAGTTTATGACTTCTCACTAGAGCTATAGGAAACTCGTGAGAACTGATCACTAGTGTAAGTATACGCTTATCACTTTTCAGCACGTTTTTGTGGAGAATTCATAGAATTTAATCTGATGGCATTGGTTTCACTCGCTGTCTGAGTTATTTCTTGCCTACTGCTCAAGTCTCAAACTAAAATGAACCAGTTTTACAATGCTCTGGTTTCAACAGTTCTCCAGCTTTTCGTGTTAGCTCATAATAAAATTCATCTTGAGTTCAAATATTATAACTGATTATCCTACTTCAAACTTCGATCTATCATATTCATTGTTTCATTAACTTTTTTTTAGTTCATGTATATTAGAAATGAAGAATAAGGAAGATCTTCAAATTGTTATAAATGAATGCAAGCATAAGTATATTAATAATCGACTGGTTAGAGCGAATCTACAATGTAAATCCAAATCGGAATCGTCCAAACCTCCCGATGCAAGTATGAGTTATGGTTTGAAACTTAAAGAAGTGCCCAATGTGATTGAAGATGATCGAATTAAAGCATTATTTCCCGAAACATCTTTGACTGGATTAAGCTCGGCACCACTTAAAGATTCCAATACTAGGTAGGTGGCTTTTGTCTAAACAACTTGAAAATTCGTCTGAAAATAAAAAAAATACTTTTTTAAAAATCGCGAGACAACGGATCATCATCGAACAATCACTTGAGTTGAGCTCGTTACTATACATCAACTTCATTAACTATGAGAAGGCGTTTGATAGTGTGGGTAGGAGGACCTTATGGAAACTTCTTCGACACTGCGGTGTACCTTAGAAGATCGTCAACATCATACGTAATTCATACAACGGACTACAGTGGAGAGTAGTGCATGAAGGACAGCTGAGAGATGCATTCCAAGTAAGAACCGGAGTCATATAAGGCTGCTTACTCTCCCCTTTTCTTCATCTTCTAGTAATTGGCTGGATTATCAAGGCCTCCACACCTGAGGGGAAGCACGAAATACAATGAACAGCTTAGAATCAATTAGACGATTTGAACTTGGCCATCCTATCCCATACACACGAACAAATGCAGATGAAGAAAACTAGTGTAGCAGCAGCCACTGCATCAGTAGGCCTCAACATACACAAGGGAAATGACAAAACCCCCAAACACAACATGAAAAACACCAAGCCAATCACATTTGATGGAGAATGTGGAAGATGTGGAAACTTTCACGTACCTGGGTGGCATCAATACACAAGGAGCATCTGATGCGGATATGAAGGCAAGGATTGACAAAGCAAGGGCTACATTCTTACAACTGAACAACATATGGAACTCAAAACAACTGTCAACCAATACAAAAGTCAGAATCTTCAATACGAACATCAAGTCAGCTCTACCGGACGGAGCTGAAACTTGGAGAACTACCAAAACCATGATCAAAAAGTACAATTATTTCTAAACAATTGTTTACGTAAGACGCAGAATGTCCATTAACCGGATACCATCAGCAACAGCCTCCTGTGGGAGAGAACAACCAAGCTCGGGAAGTGGAAAAGTTATAAATTGTGAAAATCAACAAACTGCATCACGAGGTAAGCACTAACTTGAAATACTGAATGGAAAGAGGAAGACCAAAAAACGCACTTCATGGGGAATCGGAAGTGTACGTGAAAAGAATAAATAACAAATAAAAAGAACTTGAAAGGAATACTCTAGATAGGGTTGAATGGAGAGTGCTAGTTGGCGTCCTATGCTCCTCCACGAGGAGTAACGGGCGTAAGTAAGTTAGTGTATTTACAAAACATTTGAAACCACCCAATCCAGTTGTTTACACCTCATACATCGCTTCGATGCCGTAAAGCTGACGTGGTGTCAAAGAAACTATAGCATCAAGACACTTTTTCGAGTTACTTTCTTATTTCTACTTTGTGCAGAGTCAAAAGTCTAAGTTGATTCTAAATAGATTTGCAAAGTTGTTTTTTTTGTTTCTAAACTAAGTGGAAAAGGGTTTTTCGTGTTGCTGTACATGGCACCGGAAAGTCCTTGAAAACCCATTATTCGAGTGCTACTACAACGGCTTTTCCACAATTGCATCTCAGTCAAGTATTGATTTTCACCCGGTCATACACTTAAAACAGACCAGTGATTTAGTTTAATATGAAATAACGTTCAGCGTTCTTTTTCCATAATTTACGGTCCCGCTGAAACATACAGTTAAGTAAATGGAAATGAAACAGGCAACACCGTAGCTACACAACAATGTTTGAGTAATGTGCCAAGTCCTGCGATTACCTTGTGTAGTTACGGCCAACTTGAAATCCTGAGGGGAGGCGGAGAAGAGGAAGGTCAAGGAACACACTGTGTCGGGAATCGGAAGCAGACATAGCAAGAATGAATGGCAACTGAGAAGGATTGCCTAGGACAGAATTGGATGGTGAATGCTGCTGGGCAGCGGCCTATGTTCAACCACGATGGCTAACAGGCGTAAGATTTGCAATAAGTGCTTCATTCATATGCGTCTGTCACTTGTAAATTTTACTAATTATGAGTAGTGTAGTTCTATGTTTTGGGCTTGTGTGGGGATTTTAATGTTGATTTAAGAGCCCAGAGTAGGATAAAGGTGAGTTTTTCATCGTTTATTTGTCTCTATTCATGTATTTATGGGGTTAATTCATTATCCGCATTGACTGGGAACCATACCATGGGACCTCCGAGATAAAAATGAAAGATCTAAATTGATTGTAACCCAGTAAAAAATATTTTCAGATGTAATTCTTTGAACCATGACATCAGTATGCGAATATGTTGTGTGTTGTTTTTTATTACTTTTTTAGCTGTAGAATAAATGTGTCCGTTTAATGTGTCAGTAGTTCTACCAGGATGCTTTATGCTTCTTGTAAGGAGTGTGCTAAAAAGCAAAGCCTAGGTATTAGTAATTTTACGTCGAATTTCATTGTATCAAATTCACAGTATTCATTCGAAGTACTCTTAAGTTGCGATTCTCATGTTTTCGATGTTGCTTGTAAGACGATGATTAGACTTATTTATCAGTTATTTATCGATAGATTTTGTTCATATATACTGTAAACAGTATTATTGGTTTATCGTTTTCCGTTCATGGCCACTGGGGAACTTCGTTACCAATTGGGTCTACGGTAGTAATTGTTATATTAAGCACAAAAATATGAAGAATTGTTCGGCTAAAACAGACAAGTTGTTTTCAGGTTCCTGGTCCATTGATCATTTTACTGTCTTCTTTTTTCGGGTACTTTGACACATCATTACACATATTGCAATTTAGTTGTCGTGTTACTTTTTATTAGTAGTGCCTTTGATTGGTTACGCAAAGCTGTACTGTGGAATTGTTTCTTACGGAAAACATCTTTTTAGAAGTTAACATGTTGAACATTCTGTAAATAAATACTTTAGCTCACTTGATGATATACAACTATCTATTTCCGTTGTTGAAGATCTGTAATTAGGTTATGTAGGTCATTGTGCACCTGTTGCGAACATTAGTATAGTTTAATTTCTTATAATAAACCGAAGTTGGAAAATATCACTACAGTGATGCCGCTACCCGTGCATTTCTGAATGAAGCTACAGCTACGCAGAGTTGTGATCGGGATTATGAAGGAAAATGATACCACTTTTTGAAAGGCCAATCAAATTCTTAGTATTTTTCGACTGTGTATTCCTGAACCACTGACTTTTGTAGGAAGTGTACTGAGTCCCTGCCATAATGTCGATCCGAAATTTTCGACAACACAGTCCTCATATCTGAACATGAGATAACTGGAAAATTATATATTCAGCATTTAACCCGGAGAGAAGGCCAACAATGGTGGATGCGCGCATATTCAATCGGGCGGCATGGCTCAGTCTTGTAGGAGTGATCATTCTTGTGTAACTTATCTCTTCTATCCACGCTAAATACATTGTTCTGTCTCCAACCTAAATATGTTCTTTAGAAACACCAAACACCATATTGCTGATTGTTGCTATATGAAGAGTCAGTGTAAGCAATGATGTGATTTCCACGTTAGATCTTATAGATTAAGTTTTTACATCATAACAACTCGACAATTTAGTGGATAGGTCTATTATTGTAGCAGTACTAATAAAGATCCAGATCATAATTCTACAGTCTATTGCCGTACCGGACTGAAATTGAATCTTGTGAAGATTTCACGTATTCTGCTACACAAGACCAACTTTAGCGAACTCAAATTACAACTGAACTGCAATGGTCTGTCTATGTTAAAAGGCTTTAACCAATAGTTGCGCCTATCCTTGTTCGTCTTATAACTCTGTATTTTGGTGAAGTATTCCTAGCTAGTATCTATGGTGATGAAGTAAAGCCGTCCGATTTTAGCGAAATGTCCGCGGCTGTTGTAACTGAGTTACAAAAGTTGCTGATAATAGGCTTTAATGTATACAAGTGTCAAATACACCTGACAATGAAGTTAATAGCTGTTATTTGTGATACTCCAGCGCCAAATATGTCGTTGGCCACAACGGTATGGCAGATAAAAAATGAGCGGTTTTAAAAACACGAATCAGTGGGCGATCGACTTTCCCCAATGGCTTGTACAACTTGAGAAGTGATGTTTATAATGTGAATAGTTTATAGCACATTGCTGACGAAGTCATAGAAAATAGCGGTCTAGAATCATTTTCTACCTTTCCTTTTGACTCCTATGTACAAAACAATATCAAAGATGGGTCGCAGTTGTTTGAAATAATCAGGATTGAATCGACGTAACCACTTTACCATGTGACTGCGAGATTTCGCAATCAAATATCAGAATTATGAACACCGGCTTCTCTATAGTACAAGGAGTGAAAAAGCATGAATCAGTCACAGAAACAAGAATTGTGTACATTAACATAAATTTATCCAATTTCATGTATATGTTCATTGTACTACTCAAATAATCGTTTATTTACCTTTTTGGCTGTTATATCTAAAAGGATGTTCTTGATATACTGCGTATAACGTGAGCACTAGAACGCCAGAACCCTTCCAAGTCGCAATGAGAAGACAGAAGACTAATGAAAGGAATGTTATACTCAGATAGTGTCAATTATAGTACAACATTGTCAGGTATTTATAGTTTTTAGTAAGAACGAAATCATCATTACAGTACTTCTGTAGTGGCATTGGACCATAACCACACAATCCTCAAAGCTGAATACGAGATTACTCAGAAAATAGATATTCAATATTTAACGCGAAGAAATACCTAATGATGGAGAAGGCGCGACTAATGAATTGAATAGACTAGAGTTGATCGAACGGCATGGCTCGGCCATGCAGGCGTGGTCTTTGCTGAATGTTACCTTATATCTTCTTTTCATATTAAATATATTGTTCTTTCTCTAGCCTAACCTTGTTCTACATCATGTATTGGTAATTGATGCGATACAGTGAGTTGGTGTAGTTGATGGTGTGACTTCCACGTAAGATCTTATAGATTAGGCAGTCATATCATGACAAATCCACAGATTTAGGATTAGGTTTATTATTAGAGTAGTACTAATATCATAGTAGACCATAAGTTCTACATTGGTAAGCCCGACTAAAGAAACGCAACCTATTATTGTTAATCCTTATTTC